ATTTTTGCAAGAAATAAGGCCAGTTTTCTCAAGTTGATTTTCATGCTTAATCCAATGTCTGCCTCAGTTCTTTATTTGTCCTTGGAATGTTGGAAGCCATGAGAATAAGCATGTAACACACACAAACACATATACAAAGATATACAAAGATATACATATATATGCATACATACGCACACATCAACTCAAGTTCTGTGGGGAAGTTGTACCATACAAATAGTAAATTTGCATGAATTCTATGCCACCTGCTTAGCAAGTGAATATTAGAAGAGAAAGAATATTAATTTACATTGTACAGATAAGCTTATTAAGGCTTTCTTCAATGAATCTATGCCCGGGAGTAAACCTAAGAAAAAGAGATGTGTTTTCAATAAAACAAAAACAATTATAAATCAGAGACATCCTTCAGGGGATGAGGAGAGAGAAGGATCAGAGGGAGGGAGAAAGGAGCACCGGGGACTGTGGTGATGGTGGACAGGTGCTTTGGTGAAGGAAACTCTATGGGGAAACTCTCAAATGAACAATGATGTAAAAAATAAATAAAAAAAGAAGAAAAAAGATGTGTTTTGATTTTTCTTGGTCTGTGTCTGTTCTCATGTTCTCTCTCAGAATGAACATCTTGTCTTGGTCAGTGTGCTATTTTATACAACAATGCATCCTAAACACAAGTCAGCTATTCTCTCTTTTACTCAAGCAGTCATTATAATCTACACCAGTGCTGGAGAAAAACCTGCCTGGGTTGGGCCTACTGAGAATTAGTATGTTATTCTCTAATATGGCTTTCGTAGAAGATTTCCAAGTATGATTTTTTTCCTTTACATATTCTTTAAAAACCTAAACCTCAGTAAATACAACTCTTATAGTTTAATATTGGCTTGCATATAATCAGGCAAGGAATTTTTTTAAGGTTGAACTGAAATGGTCTTGAACTCAACAACATTGTATATATTGGTTATTAAATATATGCTCTATTTCCTGTGGTTATGCTGGCTTGGAAGCATTAATACCAAGCAGATCAAATATTCACTATGTCCTTTGAAGGACTATGTTGTCTCTGAAACAAGAGAAGAGAACCAAGAGAATGAAAAGTGTAATCGAATCACCCATCGAACAGTGGATAAAGAGGGAATAGAAAACCCCATTTAATTTAGCCACTGGTGACCTTTGAGAGAACAGCTGTGGTCAGTCATAAGTTCAGAAGCAAGATATAAGAAGTTAAATACATCTAATATTGGATCATAGTAGGCTGTGTGATATCACGAATCCCTTGCAGGAAGAGAGGGCACATGAGCTGTGTATTGAGAGTTGAAGACCAGGATTGGGTGTCAGTAGTACCTAAATTATAGGATTTAGAGGTTAAAAGCAGAAACACTTAGTGTCATCATAAAGAATTTTGATTTCTAAGATCATTTGAGATTCCTTTGATAGTGCTCCTGGGAAAGATCTGGTCACCAAGGGAATAGAGGCAGGAGAATCAGTGCCATCTAAGCAAACAAATTCTAGAAACTTGTGCCCACTGCATAGGATTTCACTTGGTGATTACTTTTCATCATAGTTAAGAGTCTAATTCGGTGACAAATTGGGAAGTCAAGGCTGGTTCTGCAAGGCTATCATTGGGTCAGGGAAGAGGGTGCCAGAAGTCAACATACATAACTGAAGAGTCAGTAAAAGTTCAACTCTCATGAGTACAAAAACCAACTCATTAATAATACCAAGCCTCATCATATTCAAGGAAGTAGAGTTAAAACCCGGGCACCTCCCTTTCTTTCCTGTATTTGTGTAGCTAATAACACCTTGCATTGTTAAAAGTAAAATCTTTTTGGTGATAATTTTCTTTCTCTCAGATTGCTCACTTGTGTTTTTGAATCAGTGTGAACTACAGGGGACCACTTGACTACTGTCAATAAGAAACAAGCTGGCTGCCTTGGAGGAATAGAGCTGGGAGGCTAGGACAAGGTCTCAAGAGTAAGGCCCCTCCACACCCACTGTATATGTATAAGAATCCCCTTTATAAAAATGTGGATTCCTAGGTCCCCACCCTAGACTGACTGTAAATAAATCCAGAATCAGATGTTGTTCAAGAATTGGCATACTAATAAGCATCCATGAAAATTGTTAATCTAAAATTTAAAAACTACTGGTCTAGGAAATGTGTATATGGTTTAGTAAACCAAATTCTAAAAGAGTAGCCTTTTAATAAACTGAATTCTTGGTTTATAATTTAAATTTGCTAATGTGGCCAGGCATATCTGTTTTAATGAAAATTTATACACCTCTTTGAAATTCCTAAAGGAAAAATTAAATATGAGGTAAATCCAAAATGTTAAGATTTATATTAAATTAATGGCACTTGAGTATGAGGAAAAGGAGATTATTGTGATTTCAGAAAAGCTGTGTGTTTTGTGAACTTTTTATCATCTCTTAAGAAGGGAAATAGGTGAAGGAGGGAAGAACACAGAGTTTTCCTTGGTTTTGAAGATGATAACTCTTTGTTCTACTTGCCCCCCAAATAACAGCAGCTTACTTCCAGTTCATTTGCCACAAGCTAGTTGTGTCCCATTTATTCTTACCTCCACTACTGCTTTTCAATCCTTATATACCAGAAATAGAATGAAGGATAGCAGAAAAGGAGAAAAAAACCCACTTTGATAGGAAATAGAATTGAAGTTTTATAGAAAATGAGGGAAGGGGCCTCCCTGGTGGCACAGGCGGTTGTGCGTCGCGTTGTGAAGCTGTTCGCAGCCTCTGCAGCACGGGTTCCATCCCGGCCTGCAGGTGAGAATCCCTCATGACGCAGCAGACCTCTCCTGCAGCGCCCGCTGCTCCCCTCAGCAGTGTGTTTCGTCAGTCTGCCTGTTCTGCTCCCTGCTCTGTTTCTGGTGAATCCTCTCACCCTCCCGTGCATCTGGACTGTACCCCGCTTGTTGTATAAATGAATAAATCTTAAAAAAAAAAAAAAAAGAAAGTACATGAGGGAAGTAAGGTCTCTGGGTTCTAATGTCTTAGACATCAGAAACCCTGAGCCATAACTCTCTGGGTAAGGTCATTTTTTGCAGCTATGAGCTGTGTGGGATGTAGGTGTCCATGGGGAACTGTAGGTGTCCTTGGGGCAGGATAGTCGCAGTAAGAGAGCCTGGCTGCAGTTATATTGCCCCTAATGAGATAACTTCAGAAACTAGCCCAAATTAATCTCCTCCATCTGATCTTTCATTCTTATTTAAATTTTGTTTTTGTTATCTTTTAACTTTTCTTTGTATAGGTTATTTCCCTATATAACTCCAAATTTCTTCTTTTTTAAAATATATATATTTAATTAAAAAATAGCTGTATAATATTCCATAAAATGGAAATATCAATTTTCATTTGAGCATTCCCAATGATGGCCATTGGTGGTTACCTCTCTAAACATTCTTGGACTTGAATCTTTTTTTTTAATTTATTTATATTTTATTTATTTTTATTTTTTATGTTTAATATACTTTATATAAATATATTTTATATTTAATATATTTTATATATTTAATAATTATTTTATATAATCCTTACATCATTTTTTGGTTTTGCACAATGTATGTATTTTCATTTTGGTTATATTCCCCATACAATTGCACCCCCCTTATTTTAACCCTAATCCCTCCTCCCTTTTCCCCTCCCCCCCAGAGTGTGTCTCTGGTTTATAGTTGCTTGTTGATTTTGATTTTTACTTTGTAGTAATTAGTCTTTTTCCTGGTCCCTTATTTAGGTTTTGTAAATTCCTGCTATGAGTGAGACCATCCAAATTTCTTCTTGACAGGAACTGTGTTAGGTACTTCCTTTGAGAGTATCACCAACACACTACTTTACTCCTTCCCTGTAATCATCATCACCACCCACAGATGGGTATATCTGAGTTCCAACTTTTACCCCTTCTTGTGAGGTGATCATAATTTTCTGCTCTAAATGCTGCTTTAAAAAAAAAAATTTGGGGGCCTCCCTGGTGGCGCAGCGGTTGAGCGCTGGGTTGCAAAGCTGCCCACAGCCCCTGCGGCGCCGGTTCGATCCCTGGCTGCTCCCCGGCCACCGGAGGAGGGTCTCACATGGCGCAGACCTCTCCTGCCGCCCGCTGCTCCCCTCAGCAGTGTACTTCGGTCCTTCTGCCTGCTCTGCTCTCCCCTCTGGCTCTGGTGAATTCTCTCACCCTCCTGTGCTTCTGACTGTACCCAGTGCATGTATAAACAAAACAAACAAACAAACAAACAAACAAATAAATAAAACATGCCTCTATAAAAAAAAAAAAATTGTCTACATAGTCATGGAAGCCAAAGTTAAAAATTCAAGAAATTTTAGCTTTATCCATTTTACTTTATGTTATTAAAATTCAGATTTGGATTGATAAGAATCCAACTTATATTTTCTCTTCAGAAAATTTCAACTTAGGATATACTCAGCTCTTAATATTATAGCTCCTAGAATTTGCTACTTAAATTCAGAAACTAAAGCTACAAATGTTCCTATGTTTCAAATCAAATAACCAAATTAACAATTACAGTATGTCAGCCAAAAAGCAAGCATTATTGATAGGTAGACCCATGATACATAGTCTTGAGCTGTTTGATTACTAAACCACTGCAAACTGTTAAAATTGAACTATTTCTAATGTGCACTGTGAGGGATTGAAACAAAAACAAAATATGTTTTTTAAGTATTTTTGTTTGGTCTTATTTTATGTACTCTTTGTCTGAAACCTGAGCATATTCATCTTCATAACTTAGTATTTATTGGTTTTGTTAGTTCCTTAGCTGGTATTTTTTCATCTGAGGTTTATACCATCTTGTGACCTGTAATTTTCCCTTACTCACCATGTTTCTTGTATCTTTGGCATTCACTCACCTACTGACAGATATTTGAAATGGGAAAAGGAGAAATCACCTGTCATTTTCTGCTTAAAGGCCTTTATTACTTTTCCTTTGTTCTCTTCATGACTCTGAGACAATGATTTGAGTCTCAGATTTAGCCTTTTTTATCTTTTATTTATTGGGATCAAAGAATCTTGTTGCTTGAATTTTTCATTTGACTGGAAAACTGTGTAGAGCAGAGCCTTTGTGATGTGCTCACAATACTGGTGGTTGCCATGTTCAGTGATTCATTTTGTATGAAATAACAAATTATAGAAATCCAAGTTTCTACATCTCCTGCAACAAAATGGTAGTGCAATGAGAGAAAACATGAAAGATTCAAAAGTCTAGTCAGGAGAGACCAATTAGAGGTGCATTATGCAATAAAGAAGGGAGTTAGATATACAAAATACACTCTCAATTGGATGGCTAAGGCCCAGGGAAACCCTGAATTGGCCTGGAATGTGCACAAATTTTTCTGTAGTTCCAATTCAAGGCTAACCTTTAAAGTGCTTTTAATCACTTTACTGATGGAAGCTAAGAGTGTTATATAAGCAATATGAGTTTTTTGCCCATTGCCATTGTTATGAATTGGATTGTGGTACTGACAGGAATCATCAAGAAGGATGTATTAATCTTGTGTTGGCAATAGGAGTTGGCAAGAGCTGACCACTGTGGGAATAGAAACAGATAACTATTGGTATCTACTGATCAATAAATTTTAATGGCCTATTATTACATGGCCTGTGGTTATAAGTTTTCTAAGTAGTTAGGATCTGATTTTTTTTTTTTTTTTTAAGTTTGGGAAACTGATGCCTCCCTGGGAATTAAGGTTTGGGGTGGTTTTCCCAGCACAACTTGTTGTGGGACCTATATACAGGGTGTTGCCCTTCTCATCTACAAAGTTGGCATAACATTTTCCGCCTTCCTGATCTTTGTACTAACATAATAATAAGTTGCTACTGCTCTTGGAGATAATCTCTTTTCTCACATTTGGGTTTAAGTCTTTCAGTAAGGCTACTTAAGTAGTGGAAAGAGCCTTTCCATGAAGTTAATGTCTTTCCTGATAAAGGTAACTACTCCACCCCTCCTTCCCAATTATATCCCATGCCAGCAATAGCATAGACTTGGGCTGGTGCCAAATGTTTTAATACCATAAGGACTTGCTTGATAAAGGCTATGCATGGCAAGGGGGGGAAGCTGAAGTTCCCAAACTAAATTTTCCAAGATTTCCATGAGATCCAGCCAGGGCACCCTTCATCTAATTGTTACCATGTGTTGCTGTAGTCACTGGTACCCTGCAATTCTCACTCTCCAGGACTTCTAGAGATTAGAAATTATAGGAAGTGCTAGCCATTTCAAGATGGAAATCTACTCTAGCTGCAGAGACTTTGTCTTTGAAAAAAAGAAGTGTAGTGGCAAAGACAAAGAACATGGGATTAATAATGTGGGATTAATAACATCATCTTTCCAAATAATTACTAAGTAATTAGTAATTGGCCTGTTAGCAGCATTTAGTGTTGTACTTAATGACTCCATTAATATTTTGCATGTGTGTGCCAGTTTTGCTTCCTTCATTGTCATAAACTGTAGATAGGAAAAGGATTATTACCTTGCCCCGGCCCTTATGTTTTGCATGAACAATTCACCTAGAACAGAAAGTGACAAAACTAAATATTTTGTGGGCATCTGACATGTTCAAGCGAAGTGGTTTCATAGATCCCTGGACACTGGCAAGATTGATTAATGTTTAATAATTACGAAGTTCTCAGACAATTCAGAAAGCTGAAACACCTATCTAAATATAGGAGATATTTTTCTCTGTTGACTGATAGGAATGTTAAGATCTTATATATGATAGTTTTACCCTCAACATCCATCAAATCTTTACTATAGTTGTTAATGAATAATGAAATTGACTAGCTTATGGTATTCAAGAGGAAAACAATGAAAGATCCATTGCCATTTGAATATTAGAATGACCCTGAATGAGAATTCACATTGAGTGCAAATGGTTGAACTTAGCAAGGTCTGTTTCAACTTAACCACTCAAGACTTTGCCTCCTGTTGGAAGAAATTAATGGATTTCAACCAAACCTGCAATGTATTACTTAAGAATATAAGATTCATCCTCAATTAAGTTTATTTTTCTGTTGTCTTGAAACAAAATGACAGCTAGTATAAATTTCTACATAATTTCTTTGAGGAAGTTAAAGCTCAGAGTATTTGTAATAATAATGATAGCCTTAAAAGCAGGAACAGGATTGTCTGCTCCTGTTACCAACCCGAGCAATCAAAGGCATAAATGGACCATGAAAAGTGGTGAGCTTGGGTGACCTTGGGTCAGAGCTAAAGTACATAGGCAAGCACAGTATACGGAGAACTTTCATCGCCTCCAGTACACTGAGCCTGTTCTTGATACAGCAGGCTCTTAATTTCCCCAGGTTGTTAATCTGGCACCTTTCATGAGCATCAGTGTTCACTTTAGAAAATAAAAAAAAAAAGCAAACAGCTCAAACATCTAAGTGTTAAGAGGAAAAGAAAATCAACAGAGGAAATTACAGTACCACTCAATACAGTGGCACCTTTTTCTGGAGTCAGATGAAGTAGATACTTGAAAGTTTGCAGCTTTGACACTTTCTCTTTTAGATAGTAACCAGGGGTCTTGGGAGAGAAAGTGGCATGCACATACTGCCACAGTTTAGTTATGTTCTTTTATGCATGTGTGTCCACCTTTTGAAAACTTCATTTTAAAATATATTTGAGAGTCAAGTGAATTGAAAGTAAATACCACTTCCTTTCCCCATTGCTTTTTCTCCTTGTTTGTCATTTCCTTCCTAACTTTAATTACCTTTTCTAAAGGAGTCAGTGTTTCCTGCACTGGTATACTTTCTGTTTGTTTTGGATAGCCCATCAGTTGTTGAGATATCTGCCCTGTTGAATTGAGACTAGAGAGGGGGGAAATAAGGGGGTGAGAACAAAGTGGGGAGGGGACCCAACTGGGTCTGTGGTAAAGGACTGTGGGTGCTTTGGTTGGGAGTGGTGTGGTGACATAAACCTGAGAAGGCGTGACTCGATTCCCCTAAAACATATACAGTGTTGTCAATCAATGTCATCTCAATATTTTAAAATCGGAGGGGGAAAAGATATCGGCCATGTCTTTTGCAATTTAATACATTGAGGCTTCAGTACAATACTAAGTTCTCATTTTCTTGTATCTCACTTGTTTTTAGGTAAGTCATCTGATTGGAGTGACATTTCACTCGATGGACTTTCCATTTGGTAAAGTATTACTATTTTTATCAAATGGTATAAGCGTTCGTTTTTGTCATTTTCATTCTGTATTTTCCCACAACATTGACCTTGATAGTCTACTCTTTTAACAGAGAAAGGGTGTGAGGGAGGGGAGCTTCAAAGGGAAAAACAAGGTAAAAGGCTTATTACTTAATATATTGCATTTCTATGTGGAAAAAACTGTTGAAAGAAACCTTTTAGCTAGTTTCATCAGTTTTGCCTTTTAGAACTTCAGGAAATAGAAGAGTTATTATATTTAATTGTATTTAGAAACTGTTGCGCTTTCTTCAGACTCAAACCAAGTTTAGAGCAGTGGCTTTCTAATTGCAATTGGTGCAAATCTGGTGTTTCCTCAGAATGTTGCTCTATATCTTCGGGTAAGTATTCTATATCATCAGAAAGCTTTTCTTTTGAATCAGTTTTAAGTCTTTAGATATTTGTTCATTTTTACACATAGTTAGTAAATAAAAACAAAATGCACAAATTTGGAAGTATAAAAACTGGGGTTCTGTAGCATAAAGATGGTACCAGTGCTTATAGTTTATAATAATGGGAGATTGAAGCCTCCAAGAGTGAGCATAATGAGAGGCACGAAGGGGCACATTATGGTGTCAAATAGCTTTTCCCTCATGGTCTGGATCTTTTAACTAGTAAGAAGAGCATCTGTATCTGGTACAGATGCTCTTGAATCTTAGCAATTCTTATTCCCTTGCAGGGATGTTTCTCTTCCTGTGGAAGTAGACATATATTAATCTACTGAGTTATAAGTAAACAGAGTCTGAACACATTATTCCTAGCATCATGCCTCTTCCATTGTCTCAATACTGGGAATTTTATTTTATGTTTCCTTCTAGAGATTAACTTGATAAAGAGATATAACTGAAAATACCCAGAGAGCCAGTTGGATACTGTATCTCTGATTCTTCTACTCTATTATCTCTTACCTCTTCCTGGTATTACATTTTTTAACTAAATACTTGGTAGTTAGTAGTAATAAATCCTGTTGGGATCATGGCTGAGAAGACCCATAAAGCTTCAAAACTGTGATAAGATAACATTGACATTCTATTTAAAAAGTTTAGTGATGTAACATCAATTTTATTTCAAATTTTTAAAAACATTCGATGATTGAAGGAGAAATTATGAGGGGGAATAGTAGGTAGGAAGCAATGATGAATAGTATCTTGTAACTCAAAAGTATTCAAAAAACAATTAAAAACAAAATAAATTGTGGCCTGATTCTCTACTTGAGTTGAGTTTTTAACATCTTCGTCTGTCTTTTATCTTCCAAAAGGATAAAAAATCTAAAACCTTTTCTGATCCTTTTATATTAACCAAAGTAATCTGTAGGATTAATATCTTGTCAATCCCTCATAACCATCTAATTTTGGTCCATGTTGTTGCTATGGGAATTATCAAAATCTCAATGTGCAAAAGCATACATACAATATCAGATATAGCCAAACACAAGGTAACTGTGACTAAAATGGGAATGTATCCATATTTTGAAATCTCTACTATTAAAATACTAAAACTCTCATTTACAAGTCCAATATGAATATATATGTATTCATCCATTCATTCACTCATCCATCTGTTCATTCATTCAACCAAAGCCCAATACTTTAGCACAGTGCTTAAGTGAGTTAGCAAAAGTGGTGCCTACCCTATGTGCTCTTAGACCAGTGGGGTGGAATCTGTGTTATGCAGTGACCAAATGAAAATTAATCATGTCTAAATGTTAATCAGAATATGCCTATCTAATTATAGTTACAGCTTCCTTATGAATGGTTTTATATTTTTTTCTGAGATTTGGTTTAATTTTTATCTATAATGTAGACCTTTATGTGGATTTTTATTAATTTTTTCAAATATACACTTTGTGAATATTTATGCCATAGAACTTTAAGTAAAAACTTCTATAAACACACTCATTTCGATATTCTCCCTTGTTGAAATGTTGTGTCCTGAAAATGTCTATCATTAAAAATAAGTATTTATGAAATATTTGTTGAATTATATGTCTCTAATTATAATTAAGCTGAAAATTGAGTGCTGAAAAGAAGTCCAACCAAATACATACTTTATAGAGAACTGAAATAACTAATGTGTTCTATCAGCAAAGTTTATAAGACTCTGATATAGACTGGAGCAATAAAGCTGGAGAAGATTTTAGCTCCTCCCAATGACCATGTTAAATATACCTATACTGCAATTACCTCTCCCATTATTAGTAACTGTTAGCTCATCGCATTCCTTCAACACCTTTTTATCCTCTTTAATCCTGTCTTATTTATGTGCTCAAATCTACTTGGCACCCATTTTACCAAATGAGAGCAAGCAAGAAGCACCAGAGTAACCAAAGAAGGAAATTCCTGTGTGTACTTTGTATTACCAGCAGCACATCTAGTGAGATCTGTTTTGAGGAGTCAGTTAATGAAGAAACTTGAGAATACTTGAATTATCTGTCATTTAAACTTAAACTGTGGTAGTTTTGTCTACTTAAAGGCAGAAGCAGATCCTCTTTTCTCTTAATTTTTCCTAGACTTTTTTTTTTTTTTTTGAGGGGAAGACAAAACGTGTTCATTTATTGGAAGACTCAATACTGTTTGCACCAAGTGAATCTATAGATCCAATGCAATTCCAATAGATGTGCCAGCAGGACTTTTTGTTGACATTGACATACCAAATTTAAAATCTTTTTTTTTTATTTTTTAAATAAATTTTATTTTTATATTCCCCAAACAATTGCAATCCCCTTATTTTGACCCCAATCCCTCCCCTCCCCGCACCCCACCACCCATAGAGTGTCTCTGGTTCATAGTTGTTGATTTTGATTTTCACTTTCTTATAGTTATTCATTTTCCTGGTCCCTTATTTAAGTTTTCTAGATTCCTGCTATGAGTAAGACCATCCGGTATTTTTCTTTTTCTTTCTGGCTTATTTCGCTGAGCATGATCCCTTCCAGCGCCATCCATGTTGCTGCAAATTGCATGTGTTTATCTTTTTTGAATGCTGAGTAATATTCCATGGTGTATATGTACCACATCTTCTTGATCCAGTCATCTATTTTTTTTTTCCCTAGACTTTTTGATACCACTATTGGTTACTTCTTCATTCCTTCTCTATTTAAAAATATTTTCTTTATAAATTGTATAAATGTATGCTGATGGCCTGTGTAAGGGTGTGATTCACATTCTATAGAAGTATAATCTCTCAAGCTGTTATCACATTAAAGTGTAAGAATTTTTCATCATATTGCCCTCTAATTTCATGGCTTATTTTCATTTGATTTTTTTTAATTCACTTGGAATTTACAGAAGAGACTTCCAGAAAACTGCAGTGATTCCGTTTTTCAATTAGTGCAAGGGGCTAGCATTAGATTAAGGGCAAGAGTGTAGAACAAGGAAACTGGCTTGAAAGCTTTACATATTATGTGCAATTTTATTTTCTGAGTAATATCTCTGATTTAATAATCATCCTGGGCAGTAGCCATACAAGTTTTCTTATTCCCTGGAAAGCCTCACTATAATCGAGAACTTTGCTAGCATATCATGTACCTTGTAATTTTATTTTCTAAAATTATGTGGCATTTAATGTCTTCATTTTCCCATGTAACCTTTTAAAAGTCATGTATCTTCATTTGCTTTATTGCTCCCACACCCTCTTTCTATTTCAGATAATTCCTTACAATTCACTTTGCCATTCTACAAATAAATCATTTGCAGATTTTCTAAAAGTTGGATTATTTCACTTACGGTCTAGTGCTGTGGTTTCTTAGTAGAAGACAAGTTTATGGCTGAAGTTGTAATTTCCCTAAATTCAAAATCTGTGCACGTTTTATGCTAGAAAGCCAAAATATTCCCTCTGTAATCACCGAGCTTCCAAAATATATAGATGCTATCCACATAGAAACAAATTCATTAAGCTTTGGGTATTTTGAAGGCCTGAGATAAAGCATGTGAGATCCAGCATCACTTTGGCCATTCTTTTTTGAGGGCTGCAGATGGAGTAATATCTTTTGCCAAAGCCTAAAAGACATTAAAATTATAGATTAGCAGGAAAGTATACTCTCTCATACTATTCTCACTGAAAGGAACAGTAGGTAAAAACAATAACTGATAACATTTTTTCAAATAGTCTCAACATTTTTAAAAGGTGTTTATTTTTTAGTTGTTTCATTTAAAATTTATCAAGCTAGTATATATATTTCTATTTACTTACTAACAGCTATTTTTAGGAGGTAGTTAATAATTTTGATTTTTCATTATCCCACTGTTCCTCTTTTCAAGGCCTGTCAATTGTGTAGATCTCAAAACCCAATGCAGAATTCCCCAGTCTACTTTTTTCACCTAGAAAACTGGGGTACCCAGTCATCTCAAAGTCATTGCTTTTCTAGATATCAAACAACACTGTTAAAAGTACATGAATTTCTAGTAACAAACTCTAGAGCTCTCCTTATATTTAAAAAGTTCGTTGTCCTTTGAAGTTGCTAAGAAGTGAGAGTAAAAAAAAAAAAAGCTAGTGGTACAAGGGATTAGGCAAGATGCTTCAAGAGAAAAGCAATTTTTCCCAGAAATTCAGAATTCCGTCACTGGAGAGGAAATCCCAAAACATTTTGTTGTATTTGGAGAATCTTAATGTTAGAGAGAACAAAGTAGAAGAGTTATACTGGGCTCTTGAATTTAAAATCTGCATTATGACCATGTTTTAGAAAAGTTCTGCTCCTCTATTAAGTAAGTAGTGAATTTTAATCAGGTGTTTTGCTTTTAGTTTAGACACAAAGATAATTCAATAGAAACAATTATTTGTGGGTTAAGGAAAGAATATCTGATCTTTTTAATGAAGAAGGAATAATAGCGTGGATACTAGGTCTGTGTGTGTGTGTGTGTGTGTGTGTGTGTGTGTGTGTGTGTGTGTCTAAGAGAGACAAAGAAAAAGAAGGAAGGAAGGAGGGAGGAAGGAAAAGCAACAAGAAAGGAAAGAGGGAAGAGAGAAAGAAGACACAAGATGAGATGGCCATAATTATACTCATCTCATTTTTCCACAAAACATTTGCAATAACTTATAAGCAAAACATATAATAAACTCTAATAGGAATTTTATTTTTTGTAAGATTTATTTATACATAAAAGAACTGGGGTAAAAGCCAGAGGTGTGGGGGATGAGAGGATTCACCAGAGACAGAGTGGGCAACAGAACAGGCAAACTGACTGAAATACACTGCTGAGGGGAGCAGCAGGTGAGACAGGAGAGGTCTGCTGCGCCACGTGGGCCACCTCCCTAGCCAGGGATCAAACTCATGCTGCAGTGGCTGGGGACAACTTCATTGTGCTGAGGCAACCCCTTGCACCACCAGGGAGGCCTGTCTGCTGAGTTGTTTTTGTTTTTTTAATTTTTTTACATTGTTGTTCATTTTTAAACAACATTTGCTTCCCCTCACCCCCTCAGGTGTAGTCCCCATGAAATTTCCTTCCCCAATGCACCCTTGCACCATTACCTCAGTTCCCTGTTCTTCTCCCTTACTCCCTCTAATCCCTCTCCCTCCTCCTTCCCTGCAGTATGTCTCTAATTTATAATTGTCTGTTTTTGCTTTGTTGTGTTTTGTACTGTTATCTAATAGGAATTTTAAATAAAAATAGAGCAGGATGGTGGGGGAAGGAATTAATGGTATTAGAGCAACAATGGTATTAGATCCCCTGTAGGGATCTCAGGAACCCTACAGATCTTTTAATTCAGGCACAGCTCTTAATTAATACTAATTAAGAGCTGAATCAAGGTGCAGTTCTACTCTGAGTAGAAGAGCAGATTTTCCATTGGTACTTCCACTCATTACCAGCCCATGTTGAACCAAGTCCACTATTAGCCCTTGTGCCTGTACATTTGCTCTATCAATAGTTCCTCTGGCTCTGCTTGCATGATTGTTATGGCGAGACTCTGCCAAAGTGTTCATTCCATTGCTTTTGGAAAGGCCTGCAGTTTCAACAATCGTACATCCTGCTACAGGAACAGCACTGAGTCATGATTTTGGAAAAATTACCCATATATCTTATATTAGACATGAGTATTGAAACGGTCTTCAAAACATTACTCTTAGCTTATTATTATTCTGTTGACTTCATGGGTTCCTCCAAAGGCTAGGCATAGATGAGGGACCCAGGAACTGACAAGCATAGATGAAAGGAAAGTGAGACGGAGTCCATTCTACCTCACTTGTCTGTAAAAGGTAGAAAGCCTAAGGAACTTTTTCTCCAGTGATCATCATTTGTTTCTATGGTTATTTTCTGCTGCCCAGTTGTATGTACTACTTTTAAAAACACCCATGAATGAGTCTTAAGAGAACTGAGGTGCTACACCAGAGTCTGAGAAAATTCGAAGTTTGGGACTGAGGTCCCACCTCTGAGCTCATACTTTTTTATTACACTGATTTGTCTGATGATCTAAAACTGGGTTCACGAAACCATTGCAAAGTCAGTGCAATCTCTTAGATTTCCACTGGTGCCCGTTATTAGAGTAACCACACCTAATTTATGAGTTTTGGGTATTTTAGCAGTTTTGATAAAGAGAAGTGGAGGTGAAACAAAAGCAATCAGTAGAAAAGAGATGACTCCTGAAAACGGAAAAGTCACAGATGAAAGCAGAGTATGTGCTGCCTTCTAGTCTTCAGGCCAGGTGATTGGGTGTGGATGTCATTTGTGTCCCAGTACAGTCACACTTGCAGCAGTAATTCTCCTAGGGTAGCAGCCACAGAGTATTGTTCCTTGTTTTTCTATAGTGCTTGTCAAAATGCTATGACAACTGGCTGGTTTTATGCAAACAGAGCCTGACTTTCAAGAGACAGTGTGTCTGAAAGTCAAACATGGATGGCAGCCATTGGCATGCGAAGGAGTCCGAAACCACAGATTGTTTTCTCGTTGGATGAACAGCTTAAAGCAACGTAGAGTTAATTGAAGAATTCCTTGAAAGTGAAGTCAGACTAAAAGAAATGCTCTGAGTCTATAATTTACTAAATGTGAAAGATCTGTAAATGGTAGTAAGACTAAAAGAGTTGGGGGGGGGGCGGAGAAAGAACATTTTTGTAAACAGATCTGGCTTGTATTATTGCCTAGGCAGTTTTAATTATTTGCTCTAATAATGAGGATTTGCAGAACAATCTCTAATTAAGTAAAGCTTGATTTATGGAGTTGGCCTCATATAAACCATGATGTCATGGTGTGCTGCAGAAAATTACAGGCCTGGTCTTGCCATTGAAAACTATTATTTCTGCTTTGGACTACTCACACTCTGCATGTCTTACTCTGGTGAAATCAAAGCATATCCTAGGTTTTTTGTTCACAATGCCCATTGCCCAGGTAAATTCAACACTTATTATTATTCATTTAGTAATTTATCAAATATCTATTTTAAAAATGAGGAGGCAAGGGTGAAGTTTAACTACTAACTCTAGTAGTTAAAGAAATCTTTACTTCTTGGGGACTTAGTAGAGACCCAGTGATCCCCTGCAGAGGTGGATTCCTTTCTCCTCAGCTGATGGGCTGGCAAGGACGTGTTAGACAGACAAAAGTAGTGTCTGTGTGTCTATATGCCACTCCTTCTTACAACCCTAACCTCCTACTCCACTTTCCCCTCCCTTTCCCGCCTCTTCCTGGAAAGCTGTTTCAGCGGCATCATTGCCCGTTTCATCTGGTTTTAAGTAAGAGCATGGGGCCTCTGTAACATTTCACCGTGGTTCTTATTCCCTGTCCCATTGCAGAAGAAGCCTTGATGTAGGTCCAAGGCTTTTTCTTTGATTATAGGTCTGCTGATTGTAATTTCCTAACATTTTTCTTACATTAATTATAACTTAATGATTGCATTTTCTATGGTTTCCCACTTCAGTTTTGTTAAAGTTAAAAAAAAAAAAAAGAAAAGAAAGAAAAGAAAACCTTAGAGGAAATTCTTTTAGATTTTTATAGTTTTATTTATTTTTTTTTAAGATTTATTTATGTATGCATACAAGAGCTTGGGTATAGGCCAGAAGTGGGGGGGGGTAATGTGTGAGAGGATTCACCAGAGACAGAGTGGGGAACAGAACAGGCAGATTGACCAAACTACACTGCTAAGGGGAGCAGCAGGCAAGTCAGGAGAGGTCTGCTGCACCATGTGGGTTGCTCCCTGGCCAGCCAGGGATTCTAACTCATGCTGCAGAGGCTGCAGATAGCTTCATAGGTTGCATCTTAACCCCTGTGCCACCAGGGAGGCCCTACAGTTTGTTTTAAATTCTTTTAGAATTGCCTGACCTATATCTACTTTGATAGCCATTCTCTGTGATTTGCCTTTATCAGGTCTTCTCAGAGTATTCAATGAACTTGCATAGAAATGAACTCCTACCTTTCATGGTCATATTTTATCAGTTTACATAATACCTAGTTATAGTATAATAACAAGTCCAATGGGTATAAACAGATTTGAGAACAAATACAACTCTTTAAATAGTTGGAAATGCTTGGGACATGTTAGAGCATAACTGTCTATCTTCCAGGATTCCGTATTCTTGGGCTTGGCTCAGAGTAAAACAAAGGACCAGAATTGGATAAATAGAACTCAGTTACAAGAGTTTCTGAATCAATGCTCTCCACATTCTCTTCATTTTAAAAGTTAGACCTAAGGCTTTGGCATGACTTACCCAAGACTGTAAAAATAATTAGTAACCAAGCTGGTTGTCCTGGTTGCCAAGCCAGGGTTTCCCCATGGCACCGAGGAGAACTGATATCTAGCTTTTTATTGTGCTTTTCAGGCTGCTGATAAAATGTGAAAATAAAAGTTCATAGAGTGTACTTTGATCTATTACCTCTAAGTATCTGTCTTGATGTTTACTTCACCCATTTTCCTTTAAATTTTCCTTTTTTTAAAAAAGATTTATTTTTATTTATTTATTCATGTAAGAACTAGGGTGTAGATCAGAGGTATGAGGGATGAGGGGATTCACCAGAGACAGAGTGGGGAGTAGAACAGGTAGATCGACTGAAATACACTGCTGAGGGGAGCAGCGGGCAAGACAGGAGAGGTCTGCTGCACCATGTGGGTTAGCTCCCTGGCTGGGGATTGAACTCATGTTGCAGTGGCTGGCGATAGCTTGATAGCACTGAGACTTTAACCCTTGTGCCACCAGGGAGGCACCTCTTTAAATTTTTCTTACTATCCAAACCAATCCATCTTTATTACAGGGAATTTTATCACAGAATGGGGTGGTTGTTTCTGTGATGAAGAATATATGACAATTTATCCATTTAAAAATAATCTGGGCCTCCCCAGTGGTGCAGCGGTTGAGCACTGGGTTGCGAAGCTGCGCGCAGCCTCTGCAGCACCGGTTCGATCCCCGGCTGCTCCCCGGCCACCAGAGGAGGGTCCCGCATGGCGCGCAGACCTCTCCTGCCGCCCACTGCTCTCCTCAGCAGTGTACTTCGGTCCTTCTGCCTGCTCTGCTCCCCGCTCTGGCTCTGGTGAATTCTCTCGCCCTCCCGCACTTCTGACTGTACCCAGTGCATGTATAAACAAAACAAACAAACAAACAAATAAAACATGCCTCTATAAAAATAAATAAATAAATAAATAAATAAATAAATAAATAAATAAATAATCTAAGCTGGGGCCTCCCCGGTGGCGCAGCAGTTGAGCACTGCGTTGCGAAGCTGCCCGCGGCTTCTGCGGCGCCGGTTCGATCCCCGGCTGCTCCCCGGCCACCGGAGGAGAGTCTCACATGGCGCGCAGACCTCTCCTGCCGCCCGCTGCTCCCCTCAGCAGTGTACTTTGGTCCTTCTGCCTGCTCTGCTCCCCACTCTGGCTCTGGTGAATTCTCTCACCCTCCCGCGCTTCTGACTGTACCCAGTGCATGTATAAACAAACAAACAAATAAATAAATAAGCATGCCTCTATTAAAAATAAATAAATAAATAAATAAATAATAAAAATAAAAATAATCTAAACTATCAGACTAACTATAATAGACTCAGAACTCACTGCTAGAAACTATTCATAGTGGCAACTTGTTTTAATACAACTTTTTACTAAGATAGTGGGGGGGGGGTGTGTATGTGTGTCCTGGTGATATTTTTCAAGCAAGTGGTCAATTGTTAACTGTCATTTCAGCACCTTAACTCCCTTCCCTTTGTTTAAAAGAATTGTTTGCACTTCATTTCCCGGAAAAAGTGTTTATTTTCACATATCTTACTAAGATAACCAAATTATTTGTACAGAAAATAAGCTTTTTAGTTCCGTAACACTGAATTTTGGTTATGGTAATTATTTCATAGAATTAGTTTCTCCAGGTACATTCGGTCTTTTTAATAAATTCTATTACTTTAGTTACATAAATGAATGCTAAATACTCCTTCATTTTATTCTTGCACTTGCAACCTTTGTGACATTACTATCACATTAAAATGTAGTGTTTTTACTTCCAAAAATCAGGCTATATATACTTAAAGTATACCAAATATACATTAATTACAATTTTTATAAAAGCTATAGCTTTTCCTTGAGCTGAAGGTTTATTCTGTATGTTTTAATCATAATATCAAATATGAGCAGCTTACTAACATTCCATAGAAAATAGAAAAAGACATTTTAAGTATATAAGAACATTAAGACATTTCTCATTTTTTTTTTTAAACTTCAGAATTTTGCAAGCCAAATTGAACATTTAGATTTTGTAACTTATTCTTAACTATATAATGGCCAAAGGACAGATTCTGAGTCATGGTAACATTTTAAATAATCAATGATTGGGGCCTCCCACATGGTGTAGCGGTTGAGCGCTGGGATACGAAGCTGCCTGCAGCCTCTGCAGTACCTGTTCCATCCCCGGCCGCAGGCGAGGGTCCCACAAGGCGCACAGACCTCTTGTGCCATGCCCTCTGCTCCCCTCAGCAGTGTACTTCGTCAGTTTGCCTGTTCTGCTTCCCACTCTGGCTCTGGTGAATTCCCTCACCCTCCCATGCTTCTGACTGTACCCAGTGCTTTTGATCAGCGATCAAAAGCTGAATCAAGCTATAAGTAATCTGATAATTTGAGGTAAAGACTAAGTGTTGGGATGAAATGATTAAGTCTAAAAGTCTTGAAACGTTCAGGGACAATCCAGGTGTGAGAGAAGAAAGAACATTAAGAAGAAAAACGTCAAAGCTCTTTGTAGCTCTCTCACAACTAATTTTCTTTTCAGTAATATAAGGAAATTAACAAAAGTAGAGAAATTCAGAACTGGAAAGGACCACAGAGAATCTGTTTTATAGATAAGGAAACTGAGGGCCAGAGAGTATAACACACTTGCCCAATGTCACACAACTAGAATCAATACAGGTCTAAAGTTGGAATTTGGAGCTTCTATTTTCTAGCTCATTATTCTCTTCTCTACTTTCTTGGGCATCGTTTGACTAGATAGCCATTGGAGTTGTACCAAAATAGAACAAACTGACTTTTGTGAGAAAGGGAATGCTCTGCCACCATTGGGTGGCATGATTGGGAGGAAGCTAGACAATCACTAGCATGTTGAACTCCCATGAAGGAAACTTAGACTTAAAGCCCTCTAAGAACTTTTCCAACTAATGTTAATGAGTTTAGATAATTTCTATCATGTTTGTAAGAGGATAATTATTTGTCATTCCTACTTACAAAAATTATTGTTCATTCCCCTCAAGCATATTTCATCCACTCCAGTCTTTTCTCAGAACTTGTTTTCTCTTTGGGAGTACCTGTTCCAAAGATGCTTAGTAATGCATTATGACCAAAATGTAGGCCAAGATTCCAAGCTCTGTTCATCCTTTGAAATGATGAATAGTAATTTTACTCACAACTAATTTAACCTTCTACATTCAGCTGGTATCCAGTGACTGCTGGTTTTTCTTCTACCACATAAATCCACATCAGCTATACAGTTAACAAAAGTGAGATCCATGGCAATGAAACCAATCCATTTTCCTATGCTACCACAAGGACTTAGAATGTTAAAATTTTCACTCAATTGATATCTAATAAGGCATAAATGATTTTCAAATTAAAATTTCTAAATTGTGTTATAACCTATAAAAATGAGAGTTTATCATTGCATTAAAATATAAAATGCTTGAGATAATGAGTTCTGATAAGAAGTGTATTTGCTGATATCTATGTGAGAATAAATATCTCGGCATAGTACTTGTTATGAATATAAAATTTTCCCTGTCCACCTCATATCCATTCCTTTATTCAGCTTTAAATGCTGGGTTTTTTTCCTGCTATAATTTAGAAGGTATTTTCACAGACATCAACATTTTTAGACTATACACTTCAAGTCATATTTATAATAGGGATTTTCCAGAAAGTAAGTGATTCAGTCTCATAAGACCTAAGTGCTACCATTTTCCAGTAAAGTGGAGGGTGAATTATTCTTTTAGTTGATAGGGTCACTTTAGGGAGACCATCTCCATAGGTTTAAAATTGGGTTTTAAACTTCCATCCTGCAGTCATGTGGGAAGGTTACCAATATCCTATTCCTCTGACTTCCACTGCCCCTAGATTGATTTGGAAGGTACGGTGAGGGAGATGGTGGTAGGGTTTCACATATTATTATGGTGCTCCAGTAAGGCCGTGAAGGACTAACTCTTTTTTTCATACATAAAGGAAACCGAGAACCCAAAGAGAGAAGAAACATGTTACAGGACTAGAGAAGTTGAGTACGTAATTATCTAGAACTAAATAAAAACGAAACCTGAGACCCATGCTTCCTGGCTCCTGTCAGTTCTTTTCTTACTATTCCATGTTATCCATATTGAAAAGTCAAACTGGTCTCTATTTCCTTTCCAAGGCCTACTAGACAAGAGGGGCAGGCATTTGCCTCATTTTCCCCCAAGAGAAATACCCTCAGGAGTAGTGTTGACATACTTCTGTTATAGAAGGTAAAATGGCAGATATATTAGGCTTCACCAGTCAGTCATACAGCCTCTGTAGCAACTACAAAACTCTATCACACCCTATCATTGTGGCACAAAAGCTTCCACAGACAGTATATACGAACAAATGAGCATGGTTGTATTCCAGTATAGTGATTGAAATTTCAATTTTATGTATTACAAAAAATTATTTTGATTTTTACCAACCATTTAAAAATGAAAAAAAAAAAATCATCCTTTTGGACTATACAAAAACACACTGTGGGCCACATCTGAGAAAGGGATAGGACCATCCAACTATTCTACCTGCATAGCCATCAGTTATTTCCTTTACCACCTTTAAATCATTGTTCTTCAGGTATCATATTTTGTCTCTTCATGTTTGAATACCTATCTATAGTCTTCCTCATATGTGGCCCATAGTGTGTTTTTGTATAGTTCAAAAGGATGATTTTTTTTTTTTTTCATTTTTAAATGGTCAGATTCCAGATTGGTTATTTTGATTTACACTCAAGATTTGCAACAGGCAGGTTTTAGCTGGCCTTAGAGAAGAAAATCAGAAATAAGAAGAGGCTGTGTGAGAGTTTGCCATAAGTATGCAGAGGCAACAGAACATTTTATATGTGGCAGCTGAGAATTTTCATTATCAGTGAATCATTGTGATATCTAACTTTAAAATTTAAAAACCTGTAAACTCAAAATCATAAAGGATCAACTTTTTTTAATAGTATGATTTACATGCAGTTGAGTATACATATGTTTTGTTGTTCTGAAGATGAACTAATCTATAATTGGGCATAAGTGGTAATGTGTTTATTTATAACAACAAAAAATGACACTGATAGTATTTTTTAAGCAGCAACTATCTGCTTCCATCTAATATACATGATCTCATTTATTCTTATACCAACCCTGTAAGGCAGTCATTACTCTTCCTTTGAAGAGAAAATTGAGGCCTATTTGTCTACAAAGTAGCAAGATCAAATCTACGTCTTCTTCACAGGAAAGCTGTGCTGTTTCCACTTAGACAGTGACCACCATGAGGAATGGTGGCAAAAAACCCAGAATTTGGAAAAATCATCCCCAACTGTATTGATGACTATCATTAGTTCATGTTAATTTTATTCTGTAGTTATTATTCAGTAAAAGAAGACTTTAGCCCCTTTAAATCTTGAAAAATCAGATTAATCGTGCCTTTTTAACATTTGCGGTTTGTGTGATCATTAATCACACACAATTTCTAGGCAGGCTGCAGCCTTGAACTATTCACTGTCTGCACTTGCCCTTAAAGAATTCTTCTTCCTGACCTTCCTCTATCAAGTGACAATCAATGAAAAACCCACAAGCCAGGGCAATTGCAGCTCTGGAAAACCCTCATTCCCACATCCCCTTTGAAAATAACACCTCCTAGCTCTTACTGTTATCTTCTTAAAGGTCATGATGAATGCTTGTAACATTGTAAAACTTCCATAGCAAACACTGTCTGCATGCAAGACCAGGGTTCCTTAACTTGAGCTTTTTATCTTAACTACACCAAGACATTTACTGCCCTTCAGCTGCTCTACCCTAAATTCTTACCTGGGAATCTGAAAAGCAAATATTAGGATGAGAACATTTTAAATACTCAATATAAAAACTGGAAAACCTAATTTCAAAAGTACCTCTTTCACAGATCAGAACTGAATAAAAACCCCTGCTATATTAAGAATATGGGGCAACTCATCCCTTTGCCTTTCTCTCTAAATTTTATTCTTTCCATACATTGTTTTTAGGATTTAGAGGTCAACTGTACAGTATACTTCTCTTAGAGGAAACAATTTCATTTTCCCAATGTGGAAATGAATGCAAAAGTGGCTCTTTTATATATTACTAAAGATACCAAGATCCAGTTTTTTTGCAGCCTTTTTTTTTCCCTCATATGTGAATCATGTTATTTAATCCAGGTTTCTTTGAAACCACAACCAGACACACAGTATGGGTATTTAATTGAAGAAATATGGTCGCTATTATTCACCCTGCCATACTTTATTTTGCTTACATTAATGACCCTTTAATATATTTAAGGAAAAAAGTAAATTTGCATCATTATCCATTGAGAGCGACAAGGCTGGGTATTAGTGATTATGGACACAATACCCCATCAAGAGATAATTTCATGATTTGTATGTATCACAACATCAATTTTCCCAGACTGTTCCACAAGTATGTCCAGGAACTCATGGGGAGGAACGCTGCAGCCAGGAAAAAAATATGTACTATTGTACCACTTGTTGTCTGGAGAAAATATTTGCTAATGGTAGCAGTAAGAAGTTATTTGCTCTGTGTTTATTGACAATGTGCAGGCTGCAGAATGTTAGCATTCTGATTGTGCCGAGACATATGGAAAGAACTCACTAGGATTTTCACACTAGCTTTAGTAAGAAATGCACCTTTTGAACCAACAGTGGTTATAGTTTGTCATTTAGTCCTAATAACCCCCAAAAGTACTTTCTGTTGCCTAACTAATGCAGAAAATTATTTGAGGCCTCAAATCACATCTGAATTGGCTGCTTTTAGTCACTTAAGCATATTTTCTTATCAGCAAAACTAAGCAGACACATATTTTTTTATTTGACAGAAAATATCTGCCTATTTAGGTAAGACAGAGTTCAGATTTATGATGGGGAAACCCTAATAATTCAAAAAGATATTTTCCTGAAACAGCGTTGAATAGGAGTATCAGTGTCAATTTTCCTGAAGTGAAGGAGGAGCTTGCTTTATAACGCTAACCTTTTGTTAAACAGGCAGCCTTTCATCAGTGAGCAGTGTGTGTGTGTGTGTGTGTGTGTGTGTGTATAAAATGTTTGAGGTGCTCCTCCCCAGAGTAGAGGATCTCAATAACTTCACTGACTTGTTTTAGTATTCTGACTACCAGTTATGTGTCAGAAAATAATTTGAGACATCAAGAAAAAGTCCACTTCTTATATCTCTTCATCAAAATGCTAGGTTTGTCTATTGTCAGATAAGTCTAAGTCCCATTTATCTAATTTTATTGGTATTTCTTAGAGGCTAGTCTAATGTCATAAATGCATATTCAAAATGACTATCCAAATTACTTGTATTTCAAGTTAGTGCTTTCCAAGATAATTACACTAGTAGGTTGATAGTGAAAACCATGAACATTTTCCGTCTCTTAGACTGATTGTATTGAAACAATTAAATGCATAAATGAATGTATAGTATATAAGCATTTTTTCTTCAGTTTTAAATGGAGAATCACAATTTTGCAACCATCATAGTTACATTGTTTCAGGCAAGAAGTATCAAGACTAAAACTGGAAAGCAAAAGATAGTGAAGAACAGGTTGCTTGCCTATCTCAAAGAATCTCTCCACCACAAATTCCTTATTAATAACTATGGAAAATAGTAGTTTTGGAGTAAAGGGGCTGTTAATTACAGTCTTAACCAAGTGATAAAATTTCCATCACCATTCCTATAACATATATGATGTGTGTATCAGAAAAACTGATATGTTTCTCCTCCAAATACATAATTTAATGTTAAGGAAATAATAAACAAGCCCAAACTAAAAGTACTCTTCAAGTGTCAGTGTCCTGAAACACGAGCACTGAGGAGCGATGTTTGACTAAAGAAAACCAAAGAGATATGAAAATTAAATATATGTGTGAGCCTGCATTGGATCCTGGACTTGAAAAAGAATTGCATAAAGAACATAATTAGAATCGTTGGTAAAATGTGAATAGGTTAGTAAATTTAATCATAATATTATGTAAGTGTCCTGATTCTGATTTTGATTGTTGTACTGTCATTGGGTAATTGACTAACTTTA